AGTGTTATGTTGGGGGTTTTTTTTTTCCTTTTTTCTTTTTTTTTATGCACAGTATATAAGTGATTGTATAAAATGAGAATGAAAATGAAATAAAAATATTCAGACCCCAGGAATGTCAAGGATTCGCTTAACGACTGCATGGCTCATTTCCCCGCTGCAGGGATTTGCCAGGAAAGCCATCTAGATGGGGCCAAGCCTGACTCCACTAGTGTCTGGTTTAACGACAGTCCTCATGACCTTGTTGTTAAGTGAACAACCTATAAGGAGGTGTCTCCTGCCAGGGGGTTGGACTAGAGGACCTCTAAAGTCCTTTCAAAGCTTATATTCTGGCTTCTAAGTACTTACAAATCTGAACTGAAAACAAACTGACCGGTTGGGGATTCACTTAACAACTGGGGAGAAAAGTCGGAAAAAACAACCAGGGTCTTGCTTAGCAATGGACATTCGGGGTTCAATTGAGGTCGTAAGTCGAGGACTGGTTTTTTCCGAGCGCTCAGGGAGCTGCAAGGCAAGATAGCTGGGGAGATAAGCTACTCCCCCAACTGTTCGTGGGGTCCACCCCTAAGCCCCCACCCCCACCCCACCCCAAAATCTGAGCCGGGGCACTTGGGGGGTCTCACCGAGCTTCCAGCCGAAGGGGGTGTGCACATCGAAACGGACCTTTGCCTCATCACCGGCCACCTTGGCAAGGACGGCGTTGATGTCGGTCTGGAGAGAAGTGGGCTTCCGGTCGACCCCCAAATCCTGGAGGGTCAGTTTATCGGGTGGCAGGAAGGGCCCGTCGTAACCCGGAGACTCCAGTTGGGCCGTGGTGTTGATGTGCATCAGTTTGAGCCAGGAGTTCTGACGGGCCGGAGTCCAATTCCCTGCAGCCGTGTCAGAGGAAAGAACCCAAAGGCTTGGAAGGGAGCACGGAGGTCATCTAGCTTGACCCCCCCACCCTGCTCGGACAGGAGGAGCAGAGGAAAAACGCGTGGGGGAGGGTCTGGGGAAGGCAGGCGGACTATTCCAAATGCGGTCTTTCTTTCTCTGCCTAGTCTATTTCAATTTCTCTCTCCTTCCCCTCCCTCCTTTTCTATTTCCCTTTCGTTTCCTTTTCTTTCCTTCCTTTTCCTCCTTTGTCCATTTCTCTATCCGCCTTTCTCTCTTCGTTCCTTCCTTCCACTCTCCTTCCATTTGTCCTCCATTTTCCTTCCTTCTTTTTCAATTTCAATCTCCTTAATTCTCTTTTCAGTTCCTTCTCTTTCTCCTTTCCATTCTCCCTTTCTTCCCTTCCTTCCACCACTTCTTTTCCCCTTCCTCCTTTCCTTTCCTTCCTTCCCTTTCTCTATTTCTGTTCTTACTTTCCTATCTATCTATCTGTCTGTCTGTCTATCTACCTACAGTATCTATCTGTCTGTTTGTGTCTCTGTCTATCTATCATCTATCTGTATCTATCTATCTGTCTGTCTCTCTCTATTATCTATCTATCTATCTGTCTATCTATCTATCTATCTGTCTGTCTGTCTGTCTCTATCTATCTATCTATTGTCTGTCTGTCTGTCTGTCTGTCTATCTATCTATCTATCTATCTATCTATCTATCTATCTATCGTCTGTCTATCTATCTGTCTGTCTGTCTGTCTATAATCTATCTATCTATCTATTGTCTGTCTGTCTATCTATTGTCTGTCTGTCTGTCTGTCTGTCTATCTATCTATCTATCTATCTATCTATCTATCTATCATGTGTCTATCTATCTGTCTGTCTGTCTGTCTATAATCTATCTATCTATCTATTGTCTGTCTGTCTATCTATTGTCTGTCTGTCTGTCTGTCTGTCTATCTATCTATCTATCTATTGTCTGTCTGTCTATCTATTGTCTGTCTGTCTGTCTGTCTGTCTATCTATCTATCTATCTATTGTCTGTCTGT